TAGGAAAAGAGATTTGTTGCCTTGAATTAGATTGCAAGAATAATGTATCTGAAGTAAATTCAGTGATACGTCATTTAAATCAAAAACAGCCTAACAGTTGACTGAGTTATGATTTTGCATGCATGTACAATACATTGGAGATACTTCTGGAGTTTTTAATAATCTCCAAGCAAAGCCTGTAGTCCACTATCTATACACTCAGTGATAATTATTATGTATCTCTTTATAGTCTGATGATTGCTGTAGCATCCCTGGAATCAAATCTTATATCATATTTTCGGGTAATCTTGTTATGTACTGCTACGAGTGCAAGTAGATGAGAGATCAAGAAGTTCTGAGAAGGAAAGACTCTGTACTTTCAATAAATAAATAATTACATAATTTAATCTTAACTATTTCAGATCTGATAATAAAAGTTACATAAAACCAAATTGTTGTTAATTTTTGATGGAGATACAGCCACCATAGCTACTGGCCATAAATCATAATGATTGACTGTACTATTATACACTGCACATAGCCAGACACAAATTATGAATGTACTCTAGCTATAAGATGTATCTCCATATACTTATCATTATTAATACTGCATGACTACTGATGACAATGGTCCATTGTTTGAATATGTACATGTGATAGAAACATGTACATGTCAATCTTATCGTACTGCAACATGTCTTGCCAATGATGGAGTAGTAATTACTATTGTCATGTTTAGAATCATTCCTCTCTGCAGCCTACCATAATTATGTGTGAGTAGAATTTATTAAGTGTCAATAAAGTATTATCACTCTAGAGTCTAATTCACGGCTTCTACTGGCACCATGCAATATTAATCATATCATTACCTTAAATGTATCTAACTAAAGAGAGAGAGAGAGAGGGAGAGGATAGTGACTAATGATAAGGTACTTGTCACCATAGGCTATACATTGACAGTTGTAGTATTATTGAACAGGATAAATGAGTGTAGTAGCTATGGTTGGTTGTATGGTGCTACTAAAGTTGGCAAGACATGTTGCAGTACATGTTGCAGGCATAGTCTATAATATCTATGCCTAGGCCTTCACGGATTTAGCCACGCCCATACGTAATTAAATAGGTGTGGTTTAGCACACGTGGTACTTTTTAATAGATTAGTGGACAATGGCCCAGTATGATCTGTCGTCTCGAATAGGGACTTGTCTAGACCGCCATCTTGTCTTTCCTATCCTGGAGTTTCTGTCTGAGAGAGGAGTGAGTGTATTAAACTTAATTGTTGTTGTTATTATTATTATTATTATTATTATTATTATTATTATTATTATTATTATTGATAGCTTTACGATGAGAAAGATATATTACATGCTCGTCTTGAATTACTGAACAACACAAAAATGGTAATTAATTAATTGATTATATTATCACATGATCTGTTGTGGGTGTGGTTTAGGTTGATTATGCTGTTGATGTGTACAAGACGTTACATGGTGAAGATGCTCCTGTACCTCAGAGTGAGCCCCTGCTAATTATTGATAATTATTAGTGTCTTGGATTCAGTAGAGTTTACTTGTATATTTTATAATTAATTTTTATATACATTATATTGAGTTGTGATTTTGATGGACATTTGCCAAGATAGAACTCTCCCAAATTATACTGGTTTAGGGTAGTGCTAGTTTAACGATACCTCTTCCTCCTTCCCTCTCTCTCTCTTTCTCTCTCTCTCTCTCTCTCTCTCTCTCTCTCTCTCTCTCTCTCTCTC